ACAAGCCATGTTTTAAGTGATAGGAAACGCTTGAGCTCAGCAGTCTGGAAATGGAAGAGCCTTGGCTATCCTGGAGGTCAAACCAGATGGTCTGATAGATACTTCTGGCTGTGACCTGTATGCATCGGGGCCTGGAGAGTGCCTGGCTGTACAGGGACACTATCTTTAACAACTAAAATATTGCTGTACAGCTGGCTCTTTTGGGAAAGAGGAATTATCGGGACATTTCATTTGTTTGACTGTTTTCATTAGAAATTTTTTGATCTCGCTTTTTGGGTGGTGTTGCTGTTATCGCTGTTTGTATTGTCTATAGCAAGCTTCTGTGCAGACAGAAAGCCTGCTTCGTAAGGAGTCTGCAGCCTTGCAGCCATCACAGAAACCCCACTAATTTGAAGGGAGTGCGTGTGTTGAAGAGACGAACGTGCCTCCACCAGGGTTTTCAGTTTCAAGTCAGGTTGGAAAAACAAGAGGTCATGATGTGAGGAGAGGAAGAAGGTTTTGGGTTTACAAAGTGTGGCTGATAAAAACTACTTGCAGTGAAGTTTCTAATCGTTAGATCTGTTGTGAATCAGTTTTGAAAAACTTTGCAGAAGTGAGTTTCCAGAGTAAATGAGGAATTAAAAGGCATTCAGCACTGCAGCTTATATGGCGATTGTCTTTTCTAGGTCTGTCGGGAGACAGAGGTACAGCTTACAGTAATAGTCCATATATTCTTTTTTATTATCTCATCAGAATAGCAGCAAGGGGTGATATTTAACTAAAAGCTCCTGAACTGTGAGACATCTGAAGCAGAAAGCTAGCGTTTGGCTAGACGAGAATAGTTAGATGTGCCCAACACGTGGAGGGAGAATTGGGATGGACATCATAGCACCAGTGCAGATCTGTAAGCTATGATGTCCCAAGGGAGAAGTTTGCAAGAGGCCACAACTCAGCCGATCACAGCCTAACATCAAAGCAAAAATTCATCTTCATGTAATACCGATTTACATCCATCAGCTTCTCACCACTGTGAGCTGCAACATTTCCTAGTATCCGAATTTCTACTGTCTAGCTTAACCTCTAATTTTGCAAAGAGAATTAAAGAAATGCTTGCAAAGCTGCTGGTTCCTGAACTAAATAGTACTGAAAGCTTTGCCTTCTATTTTCAATACCATCACTTGTTACAGTAGGTACTGTTGCCCAACATTGTAATGTTCCCACTATTCCTATGAATTTAAGAGGACAGTGTAATATTGCTGTTGTGGAATTGTGCAACACAGCTGCAACTGCTTCTTCTCAGCAGTTCATCCAGGTTGTTGTCAAAAATGTCATCGGAACTTCGTCTGATGACAGTGGGTCAATGCATAAGGACAGCTGAAACAAGAACTGTGTGTGGCTTCAGTTCCCTGTCAAGCCCTTCTAAATGATGCTGAGATAGGAAATACCCTGTGACGGCAAGATGGCTTACGTTCACAATTTTATTGTATATCTCATATTCTTTAGAGGTTTGCTTTCAAAAAACTCTGCAGGATTATCTGAAGATCTCAGCTGCTAGTTTTAAAAGTGAATTTTTTAGCTCTCGTGTTTATAGGTACAGGAGAATTCCTGGAGAATTAAAAAAAAGAGGACTAACAAAAAGAACACAGTGTTTGTTATTTTTGAGCTGATCTCATGATTTTTGGTTTCCTGATTCATGATTCTGTCATGTTAATGGTAATATGGGTGTCATGTAATGGAAATGAACAGTCTCTCCACTATTTCTGCTTCTGTCTAAATAGTCCTATTTTTTAAAGCACACAAATCCTTTATTACTGGTTGCTGGGACTAATCACACAAATACATTTCAATTTTATCGGGAAAGAGGGACA